AAATCCAAACGCAGATAATGTTAAACCCAACATCTGACTAATGCGCACAATTTAGACTAGAAACCTAGCAAAATAAATCCAAAAGTAGATCCGCGAGGAAGTTGAACTAAAGAGTATTACTGAGTTCAAGTACTTGGTGCTTACGCTTCCTAACATGCGTTAACATACAAAGCATATTAGGTCTTTCAAGCTTTATTAGGAAAACATCGCAATCCCATTAACACACAATAACAAGATAAAAAGCAGGGCTGTGAACCACTCCGGAGCTGAACCACTCCGAACCGGAGTGGTTCACATTTTTTAGAAAACGAACCGAACCGTAAACCGGAGCGCCGAAGTTTTTTATAATTGAACCGGAGCCGAACCGGAACTTTTTTTTTTGATATTCGGTTAGGTTCAAAAAAAATTGATTTTGTGTGTTCTTGTTTTTCTATTCAACATTGTGGGGGATTTTCTGATCATATTAACATAGAGTTTATTTACTAAGGGAAATAAAAATGCTCAAATATATTGTCTATGCAATGCCTGCATCTAACTCAATCAATCTAATAATATATAATTATCATCTTCCAAAACTTTTCGCAGTATGCCCACATTAAAATTACATGATTAAATTCATGGTAGTATACTAATAATAGAGTATTTCCAGTAAGACGATTTTCTATGCGGAATGTTAAAAAAACATATTTAATTATGTGAATGTAACAAAAAAACAAGAAAGGAAAGCTAACTTCGGGCGGAGCCGAAGTTGATATACCCTTGCAGAATACTCTGTAAATTATATTCTCCAAAATTATTCATATGATGCATTCTTAATAACATCTATGTTTCGATGGGTTTCAGAAAAAAACATCGATATATCGATACATCGAATTCTATACTAATTTTAACGTATATTTTAGTTTTTATACCCTTGCAGAGGGTATTATAATTTTGGTCAAAAGTGTGCAACGCAGTGAAGGAGACATCTCCGACCCTATAAAGTATATATATTCTTGATCAGGATCACCTCCTGAGTTGATATAGCCATGTCCGTCTGTCCGTCTGTCCGTCTGTCCGTCTGTCTGTTTCTACGCAAACTAGTCTCTCAGTTTTAAAGCTATCGGATTGAAACTTTGCACACACCCTTCTTTCCTTTGCACGCAGTATATAAGTCGGAACGGCCGGGATCGGCCGACTATATCCTATAGCTGCCATATAACTGATTGATCGGAAATGCCATAACTTTCGTGTTTGTAAAGTTAGGAAGTTGGGATTTTCTATGGGTTTTATATTTGGCCAATCAATCCGACCTACCAAATTTCATAAGGATCGGCCGACTATATCCTATAGCTGCCATATAACTGATTGATCGGAAATGCCATAACTTTGGTGTTTGTAAAGTTAGAAAGTTGGGATTTTCTATGGGTTTTATATTTGGCCAATCAATCCGACCTACCAAATTTCATAAGGATCGGCCGACTATATCCTATAGCTGCCATATAACTGATTGATCGGAAATGCCATAACTTTGGTGTTTGTAAAGTTAGAAAATTGGGATTTTCTATGGATTTTATTTTTGGCCAATCAATCCGACCTACCAAATTTCATAAGGATCGGCCGACTATATCATATAGCTGCCATATAACTGATTGATCGGAAATGCCATAACTTTGGTGTTTGTAAAGTTAGGAAGTTGGGATTTTCTATGGATTTTATTTTTGGCCAATCAATCCGACCTACCAAATTTCATAAGGATCGGCCGACTATATCCTATAGCTGCCATATAACTGAACGATTGGAAATGCCATAACTTTGTTGTTGTTAAAGTTAGGAAGTTCGGATTTTTTATGAGTATTAAGAATGCATCATATGAATAATTTTGGAGAATATAATTTACAGAGTATTCTGCAAGGGTATATCAACTTCGGCTCCGCCCGAAGTTAGCTTTCCTTTCTTGTTTATATTTAATTAATCAAAAATGTGTTAAGATTACCAAGATTCTTTCCTGCCAAACACTGATGGGTAAAGAGGAAACATCGATGTTTGTAAACATCGATGTTTCCCAAGTTTTGGAAAACATCGATGTATCGTTACATCGCCGATGTTATTTCCAGCTCTAGTTGGGAGTTCCAATTCTTCGAAATGGCTCTTTTACCAGCAGCAATGGAAAACCATAAAGTTCACGACTTCTTCATTTATAATGAAGACAATAATAAAAATAAGTGTAAACTTTGCGATTTCGAAATGACAGGCAAACATGCCTCAAATTTAAAACGGCATATTGAAAGGAAGCACAAGGAGTTGGTACAGAAAATTGAAACAAATAAGAAGCAAGTAGCAGCCGACCAGCCACCTATAAAGCAATTCTTGGAAACAGCGTATGTCAAAGTGAAAATCACCAAAGCTGACATTTTAGATGCTTGCCTGGAACTAGTCACTAAAAATGGGCGTCCATTAAAAATAGTTGAAGATTCTGGTTTTTTAAAAATTCTAAAGCCCATGTGTGACGCTTTTAGCCCTCCATTGAAAATCAATCGCTTTAACATACGGAACTTAATTCAGGAAAAAGCTAGTCGCATTCGCTTACACATTAAAAATGTTCTACAAAATCGGTTAGTCCAACAGAACCCCTGTTACTTGGTGATATTACATTTTGTTTTATATATTTTTTTAGACTTATATCTATAAAAGTGGATTGTGTAAGCCGTTTGGATCGTGCTTTCATCGGAATAAACGCTCAGCTTCATAATGGTTCGGAAGTAAGGTGCTACACATTAGCTATGAAAGAAATACACGTGCAGCATACAAGCGTAAACTTAACCACGATTATCCAAAAAGTGCTGGAGTCTTTTGAAGTTTCGCTCCGACAAATATATACGCTGACGGTGGAAAATGGTGCCAATATGGTTTTGGCGGGAAATAAACTAAACCAATTATGTAGGGTTGACCTCGATGCAGAGCACTCCGAATGCGAATGCATTTTTACAGAAATTGAATAAGATCAAATTCAAGTGGATTTACCTCAGGACTCAATCACCACAGTGCGTTGCGAGCGCACACTTTAAATTTAGTTGTTTCTGATTTTTTAAAAGAAATCAAGGATTGATTTATCTAAAATACGCACTTTATGTAAAAAACTAAGAACTCCAACCATTCTAAATCTGCTTCATTTAGAAAATTTAAACAAGCCGATATTAGACTGCGCCACGCGGTGGAATTCCACGTATTTAATGTGCGACCGAGTTCTTACATTAAAAGAATTTTGTCTAAAAAGCTCAAATGACATAAAAGAACTTCGTTTAAAAAACACCGAATGGGACGCAGTGAAAAATTTGTGTGATTTGCTGAAACCTCTTTATGAGTTCTCTTTAAAGCTTCAGAAACTGAATTTGTTGCCAAGTGACTTCTATTTCCAGTGGTTTTCTCTTCGCTTTAAGACATTAAAATCGTCCTCTAAATATAGTGTAGCATTGTCAAAATGCTTAGAAAAGCGATCACACATATTGAATTCAGTTCCTATAATATCATCCGTTTTTCTTGACCCTAGATATCAAGTAGTATTATTAAGAGAGCAAAAAAATGACGCTAAGGCACACCTACGTGAAATATATCAAAGGCAACTTGCCTTGGGTGATGATGCCGTTTTCAATGCCTCTGCGGCCTCTGCATGTTCAATAGATGATGAAAATGAAAATTTATTATCTCAATATGATACTAACTATAATATTAAAGGCAGGAAAACAGCTTGTGATTTTATTAATTCTTTCGATGGCATAGAAAGAATTAGAATGAAAGACGATAGTATTTTGAAGTTTTGGGACGTCTATCGATGTGAAAACTTAAGAAAACTAGCTTATGTTGTTCATGCCGTACCTGCTACACAGGTATCAGTAGAAAGGGCGTTTTCCACTTTGAAATTTGTTTTATCTGATCTCAGGGGTAGCATTGATGAAGATATTTTGGAAGATATTATGTTAGTTAACCTCAACTGATGAACACTTTATAAATCATAACTCTTGTAACTTTACTTATAAGTCTTAATGTTATGGTACATATTTGAAGGAAAATACATGGAAATAAATGTTGACTTTATTATTTCATTAAAAAAAAAAATATTTATTTGAACCCTGGTTCGAACCCGAACCCTGCTCCGGCTCATCAATGAACCGGTTCGCAAACCGGAACATTATCTGTCGATTAGGTTTGAACCCCGAACCGAACCCATGCCAAAATAATATGGGTTCACAGCCCTGATAAAAAGACCGATTTAACCTATTGCCCCAAAGCACATAGATAACTAAATTTAGCCTACTTTATAAATTATTTAGTACACTGGAAACGAGAACAGTAATCATGCCGATTGTCTACAAGCCAAATGTTAAAAACAGTCACTGAACGGTTTGTATGAGTATAGGGAGTATGTAGCGCAGACTATCTACAGGTGTGCAATAGTGATAGAATTTAGAGGTAACACTTTCGGATATGATTAGATGACAAATGCTTAGTTAATGAATCTTCTAATCAGAAATTATTAGAGAAAACTTACTTCATTCTTAAACAATGCTCCTCAGCATAGAACAAAAATAATGGGTCTTTGCAGCGATCAGATTGATTCAACGGTATATTGATCTGCAGTAAGAAATCTTATGTGGCTTGCACTTACAAACTTATGGCTAGCATCAATTATGTTTTAATAAATTTCGAAATAAGTATATAGTTAAGTGGAAAAAACGTTTTGTTATAGAAGAAATTAATATTCGAGTTTAATCAATAACTGCAATAAATTTCAAAAGGTCAACAAAAACCAACACCCAATCCAAAATTAAATTAATTAATGTGAAATTCTGGATTTCTCGACTTCTTGTAAATAACTTCAATCAGATAAAATACGTGGAAACAAAAAAAAAATGTTAATAATCAAGTAACAACCAATTTAGGAAAGGTTATCGAAGGGTCTATTAACATTAAAACAGATTTTAATTTTTGTGAATAGAACGGTGAAATCAAGATATACTTACGGAAGGACGCTTTGTATTTCAGCTTGATCATCACATGTTAAGCCCTTATAACCTAGCAAATTTGCTCCTGAATCAAACCAGCCAAGTTCAGAACGCAATTGGGCAAAGCAATCTAAGTGATGCCAAAGAGGCTGACCTCCATACTTCATACCAACTTCAGTATCAAAAACAGTTTTACGTATCCGAACCTGATTCTTGTTTATTTTTTGCTCACATCCACGACATGTTGATCGACTTGATCTCGCATATTCGATTCCAAAGTCTTTTAATGCTAAGTTACAAGCCTTGGAACGCTTTGCTCCCGATTTTGCATGAATAACTCCAATATTTCCTAAGTAAATTTTATAAAATTTAAAACACATTTAGCTTAAAACCTTTACTCTCTTACCAATAAGATCAGTCAATTCTTTTTGATCAATAAATCGAAGGTTTTGAAAGTTCTGTATGTCTCCCACAGAGGCGGGACGTTGGTTTTTAAAAAAGCAGCTTTTATGAAACCAGTTCGGTACTTTTGCATCATGAAATGCTGACTGTTGAAAAAAAGAAAATACAATATTAATATTAGAATATTTAAAGCAGAGCAACAATTTTGACATGAAATAATATGTAACTAATAAATAGAGTGCCCCGATTATCAGATACCCGTTACTTTTGCTTTAGCCGAGTTTCATATAAATATGCCTCTAGCAGATGGCACAATTTGTAATTCTACTGGTGCTATTTAGCAGGTGGCAGAGGCTGTCGTCACTATTCCTTTTGACAAATATTTCTTTATAATGCTTAGGCTCAACATCATATTATGCGCTATTAGCCGAATAAATATATATTGTCCACAAACTTAAACAGTTCATAAGCAGTTCATAAGTAGTACCCATGATATCGACATTAATACGAACATTGTTAGTAATATCGGTGGTAATGAATTTTCGTTTGCATTGTCGTTCTAACCAACGTTCGCCGATTTCATGCATTTTTAAATTCTATTGAAAGACGTAATGCAAAACCTGACATATTGTCATTGTTACATTCTCCTTAGATTAATACCTGACCGCCACAATATCAGAACCTTGCCTCCAATCATATGCATCCTTGCCATCAAGCTTTTCCTTTGATCACATTCCGCTTAGGACATATCTATGCGTTGCTGTCCTAGTTGAACCTAAAAAACCTTAAAAAAGTTATGATCAACACACTTTTTAACAGTCTCAAGAGCATAAAAAACAAAAATTTTTTTTTTAATTTGCGAAAAATGTTAGAGTTTCTCACTTTTTGATCAATTTTTTGGAATTTTTTTTCTGATGGAAATTGCGACCTACATCTTTCCCGCCGCACGACACATGCACACTCGAGGCGCCTCTGCGAAGTGCTTGTACCAGGCATAATGACATATATTTTAAGAAGACTGTTGAAATATATACCAATAAAACCTGAAAGTTTCGTTTCAATCGAATTTTTCTTTCCTTCCCAAAAAAAAGTCCTCGGAAAATTCGATTTTTTGAAGCTTCTAAAGCCGGCCCCTTAAATAAATAAGCATTCTCTTAGGGAGAAGTAAGTGAAAATTCGAACGCCTATTCCAATTTTAGCCTTAGCTCTAGCATTACAGATCACTTCCCAAGCAGACTTTTCCTCTTTATCGGGCACTCTTCAGAAGATGAAGTCCGCTTTTAAGTGCTTCTAAGTTGTACAAATATTTAAGCATTTTAGCCCATGAAATCATAGTGGGTCATAGAAGCGAGCAATTGTGGACAAAGGTAGAACGTTTTGTTGGCCTAGAAGACATTGACTTGGGCGAGACAGAGAAAAGAAATCGATCTGAAACAGGATCCCAAGATAGTGAAGTCGGTTCAATCGTGAAACTTCAGTAAATTCTCCAAATCCTTGCTAGAAACTCCATTAAAAAATTCAGATGCGTTAGAGCACCATTTCTGATTTGAAAATGTCCTCCTTTAAATAATTATGTTGTCTGCTTCATGATCTCTGTCACTTATTTTATAGATTCACCTCCTGTCATTAAACATCGAAGTAAAAATTTAGAATGACAGAGCCGATCGGATATGCAACATGATCGGCCTGTGTGTAATGATTCTTGTGGCAACAGGAGTTGCCTTTTTAACTAGATTTTGATTTGGAGAGCGGTTAGCACTGGGACTTTTTCGGCTAAGACTTCGTCGGATTGAGGGGGATCTTTTATCAAAACTAGCTAACGAAATTACAAAAGTGGCGCCCAAAGTGTAGGCAACGAACCAAGAAAGGCATTAAAAGAAATACAGAAAATGTTGAATTTAACACCAACATCCGTAAAGCCTTATTCGTTCAAAGCTATGTCTAAGCAATTAAAATTGTTGGAGAAACCTCTGGAATACTGTACATAGCCGTCCGAAGTATGCAAAAACAACTGTTTTATGAGCTAAAATAAGAATTTTGTGTTAGGAATGTAACATTGCCCCTGGATTTCTTTAAGGTTATTATGCTAGCCATTAACTTTACTGCCCGGAAAGACAAAATATTTTAATAATTGTGAGAAAAGTTAAAGTTTTGCGTATATATAAAAAAACAAGAGAGAACACTATAGTCGGGTGCCCCGACTATCAGATACCCGTTACTCAGGTAAAGGAAGTGCGAGGGAGATGCAGATAGAAACTTTGATCACGCATAACTTTTTAACGAATGGTCCGATTTGAAACATTTCGATAGGTATTGATAAACACAATAAAACTGCATTTTTACTTTTCCGAAATATTTAAATTTTTAAAATCGTATATAAGCGATTGTGGGCGTTAAAGGGGGCGTGGCACCTTTTTGAAACAAACTTGCGCTGCGTAGGAACTCCTAGAATCTGCATGCAAAATGCCAATCTTCTAGCTTTTATAGTTTCCGAGATCTCAGCGTTCATACGGACAGACAGACAGACAGACGGACAGACAGACGGACAGACGGACAGACGGACATGGCTATATCGACTCGGCTAGTGACCCTGATCAAGAATATATATACTTTATAGGGTCGGAAACGCTTCCTTCTAGCTGTTACATACTTTTGCACGAATACAATATACCCTTTTACTCTACGAGTAACGGGTATAAATACGTCAATGAAGACAATAAATTATAATTATGTTTAAAAAAAAGAATGGGTTGAATATATGCATAAATGGCCGAACAGCTAGGGTTTAAAGTTAGATTTTGAAATTTTTTTGGGGTGTACGCAGAGATATGCGAGTGAGTGTATCTTGCCAAAGGCTTGTTCTGGCCGTCCGCCTTTGCTTACAAACCGCGAGCAGAGGAATATTATCAAATCTATTCAGCTCAACCCAAGGACGACAGCTCATCAGGCAAAGCTGAAGGTCGAGGATAGATTTTCCAAAACAGTTTCCAAGGATTCTGTAAGCCGGACCATAAAATAGGCTGACTACCATAGCAGAGTCGCCCGCAAAAAACCTCTCATATCGGAAGTCAATCGACAAAAGCGCCTAACCTTTGCTAATGAGTATATTTCCAAATACCAAGACTTCTGGAGTAAGGTTATATTTTCCGTCGAATGTAAATTCTGCATATTTGGAATCAAGGGAAATGTTTTGGTATGGAGGAAAAGCGGAGAAGCCTCCCTGCAGTACCGTTCATCACCTTTTAATCGCTTTTTCATCACCAAAAATTCATCAATGCTGATTAATCGGCGATGAAACTTCATACAAATTAGAGATGAATTTAACATTGGCATGTCCTAGGAGTTAAGCAGTGAAAAATTCATCACTCTTTAATCAGTAATTCATCACTCTTTTTTCAGTTTTTCATCACTCTTTGAACAGCGTTTACTGATGAACATGCGATTAACGAGTGATTAAAATGCGATGAAATAGTGATTAACGAGTGATGAATTACTGATTAAAGAGTGATGAATTCATCACATTTTCATCAGTAATTCAACACTCTTTAATCAGTAATTCATCGCTTTTTCATCGCATTTTCATCGCTTTTCATCGCATTTTCATCGCATTTTCATCGCTTTTTCATCGCATTTTCATCGCTTTTTCATCTCTTTTTTTCATCAGTAAAATTCATTCAGTAAATTTTCATATAAATTTATTTTTTTATTTTATTACATTATTTCATTATTATTTCATTTATTTAATTACATATAACTAATTAATTTAACTTAATTCAATCTACATATGTACGTTTTCAGTTGTCTCGAAGGTGTTGAGGATGTTTCGGTTTCGGTGCTCTTTTTTTGACTTCGTGCTTTATGTACTGGCTCTTCCTGACCAAGTATATCTAAAATAGAAAAATTATTATAAAATATATAAAAACTTACTGCGTAGTTTATGCTGGCCCAACAGTTTTATTATAAGCTTCGCCTTAAATAATGAATAAATATAATAACAGTATATGTAGGTACAGTTCAAAATAATTAATAAAATAACACTTACCTAAATTTCTGATAAATTTAGTTATAAAATTTCACAAAAAATCTCAGCTTCGATCTGTTCTCTCCGTTCTCTCAAATGCAAGTGCACGTAAAAACCGCGAAAACAACTTCAGTTGTTGTTCTTTCCTTTGCCTAATTTGTCTTTACATGTTTCGCTTCGCGTCAAAGAAGGGTATATAAAAGCATGTCCGACTATGAAAAATAATTACATAACTTAAATTCACTTAAAAAAGGAATCAATACCTTTCAAAACTATCATAATAATTTTATTTTTAAAAAGTATTTCCATAAAATAATATAATTAATAAGAATCAACGACTACAATACAAAAATTATGCTAATTTATTTTCAAGGTTAATGATTTTAATACAATGTCCTCCACCTCTCAGCTCATTTTATGGGGAGAGAGACAGAGTAAGAGAGGGAGATGGAAATTTTTCTGCGTTGCCTACGATCGGGGACTGATCGGTTCTGCCTGCGTCGCACTCGGCTCTGCCGACTTTGCCTTTGGCTCTGCCGGCGTCGCAGTCCGCTGCTGATTAAACAGTGATGAATTTTTGTAGTGATGAATTTCGGAACTGCAGGGCTTTAATAAAGAAAATTTGGTTGGCACACTAAAGCACGGAGGAAGCGGAATAATGGTGTGGGGGTGGAAAATTGGTATTTATCGAGTAAATAATGTATCAGAAAATCTATATTGACATATTAAAAAACAATTTAAAAGAAAGTGCTGAAAAATTAGGGCTCGAAAGTGAATATTGGTTCCAACAAGCTTTGGCTGCTGTATAACGTGAAAAATCAGCTGCGAACACCTCCCCAGAGTCCTGCTCTAAACCCAATTGAGCATTTCTTAAGAGGAAAATCCGAAGACACACGATAACATCTAAAACAAGAAAGGAAAGCTAACTTCGGGCGGAGCCGAAGTTGATATACCCTTGCAGAATACTCTGTAAATTATATTCTCCAAAATTATTCATATGATGCATTCTTAATACTCATAAAAAATCCGAACTTCCTAACTTTAACAACAACAAAGTTATGGCATTTCCAATCGTTCAGTTATATGGCAGCTATAGGATATAGTCGGCCGATCCTTATGAAATTT